AGATGTAAAAATTTCCGCATTAGGAACTGTAAGCCAACAGAATATATCATCAAGGACATTAGATCTTTCCAAGAAATCATTGACGACAGTTTCTGAGGAGGATTTACAAGAAATTACGTTTGAACCATCAACTGTATTACTTGGATTTAATCTACTTCAGACTATCCCTATTAGTTTTAAATTATTTAGAACAAATATTACATGTTTTCAATTGGATCACAACAAGTTTACTACTTTTCCAACATTTGAAGATAAGTCTATAGTTTTTCCGAACGTGAGCAGGTTGGATTTGTCAGCAAATCAGCTTACCTCCTTACCTGATGACTCCCAACAAACGCCATTTCCAAATTTACAAGTTCTTAACGTTAACAATTGTCGAATTGAATCGTTACCAACAAAATTTCCATTTCCTAAACTGACAACTTTTCTTGCCACATCCAATTTACTTACATCTATTACTCCATCGACCTTTGAAAATATGGAGGTGGTTGATATTTCTAACAATAACATCAATTTTTTACCACCCCTATTGGGTGATATTACAACCATCAAGACATTACTTGTTGAGGGTAATTCATTTCGAGTTCCAAGGTACACAATAGTACAGCAAGGTACAACCGCCATCATGGAATATTTACGAGGAAGGATTCCACGATAATGATGGATTGATTTTTTATATATACTTATTTATATACCAGTATTATTTTAACTGGAAATTTAAAGTTTATATTACATATTAGCATTGTGAAAAAAAAAAAAAAATAAGAGGCTTTGAAAATTTATTATATTTATTATACCGTTTATATATTTACTGTATTAATATTTTATGATTTATATAGTGTGTAATTATAACCGTTGACAGAATGTGATTCTACATGAATATACATGGATGTTACACGATTTTGTGCAATTGTAGTTTATCCGAATCAAATTTAACCTCCGATCCATTGAGGTCAGTGTTTACAGTATTCATGTGATTGGTTAGTTAGCACAGTCTCTAAGCACTGTCCGTAGATTTTCACTTAAATTTGGGTGCCCTAATTTCACCCTCAAGCTCTGATAAGTGTTGGATAAATTAGAATACGCAATGATGTTCCGACCAATAAAATTACAAGATTCGATGTAACTTGAATACAGTTAGACCTCCCTAAGTGCACCCCCCTCGGGACCATAGTAAAATAAAAGCAAAACGTGCACTTAAAGAGAGTGTGCATTTACAGAGAGCAAAATATATAGTGCTCTTATAAGTTGGGGCCAAGTTATGTCATGCATTTAGAGAGAATTTACATAGGGCGTGTACTTAGGGAGGTTTTACTGTATTACGAAAGCTTTTCCTCAAAAATCGTGACTCCGCCATCTGCAAAAAAAAAATAAAATAAAATTAAAATAAAAAAAATGAAAAATTCCATGCAAAATTTTAATATAATCTATCATATCTGATCTTTAATACTAACTATAATGACATGTTATATATCATACTAATTTATTGTTTAAGATCTTATAGAATGTAAATTTATAATAAGTCGCAGAATAACTCGAAATGCAAGAATAAATGAATATTCGTTGATATTTCAGTATGCTATTGGCGAATTTTTATAAATATTTAAAAAAATTTTAGTCAACTTACATGGTAACTAAATTACAAATATTGGATAGATTTTATTTGAGTTATATAATTTTCTTGTACATAATTGGTCATTGCTAAAGACCAGGGAATGCCGGCCCAGAAGAGCGATGTGGTGAAAAATTTTTTTTTTCATGATGTCGAGGGTTTCTATTCCTCCCTGGCTATGCGTGGCTATAATATAGCTCATTATTCATTGAATAATTATATCTAATTATACACGTGTAAATATTAGCGTTATTTTGGAAAATGTGATCACAAATCTAACTTATATTATTAGATGGAAATCGGATATAAAAGTATTATAAGTTTAAAAAAATTAAAGGCGTTGAATACACCACAAGAATCAACCCTTGATTATACACGAGAAGAGATAAAGAAAAATCTTGAAGCATTAGATTCAAAACTTAGCGTCCCATGTCAATTAGGGATGCAACTTATGATGCTCTCAAA